CGACAATACCCTTAATAAAAAGGAGAAAGGAAAATACATAATAGGAGACGCGGAAGTAGCAGCATGGAGACCCAACATGGAAATTAGGAATCCTCTTGTTAACGGTTTGGGTATGTATGTACATGTGTGTTCTTTCGATAATCATTCATTTCATAATTCACATGAATATATTATTTAGTACAAGACTGGGACGCGCTGGAAAAAATTTGGGATCATGCACTGCTTAAGAGACTGCAAGTTGATCCAACGGAACATCCACTGTTCGTAACAGAAGCAGCTTGGAACACCAGGGAAATTAGAGAGAAACTTACTGAAATCGCGTTTGAGAAATACCAAGTGTTAGCTTTTTATGTAGCAAAGAATCCGGTGCTCTCAGCGTATCCTTTCTTCAAAATAAACAATTTTTAAATTTTGTTATTAATAAATTCTTTGACAATCTGTTGTTAAAAGATTTGCAACAGGACGTCCAACTGCCGTTGTTCTAGATTGTGGTGCTAGCACTACGAGCTGTGTTCCAGTAGTTGATGGATACGTTCTTAAAAAAGTTTGCCAGTAACCTTCTGTCTGAATAAAGGTTTCGATATTCAAGTTCTGTTTGCAAATAAGTGAAACTAACCTCCGCCAAAAGTAGACATTTTCCCAGAAAAGAATAAGTGAAAGACGATTTAGATATATATAGTGCATATCGATACGGATGTTGATATGTGAAATTACGCAAGCAACTATCTAATCTGTGTTACGATATCAGATATCGATATCAAAATACGTACGTACGTACGTATGTACAGTACATACGCACCTTCGAATTCAATATCAATTATTTTTAGCCATGCCAGGAGGAATACAACAAGCCTCACAACTTTATGGAACTCTCAAGGCAGAATTTACCTCGGCTTCACCCGACCTGAATAAATGTGGTTCTTATCTAGCAAAGCTCAAGGTTTTATGTTTTTATAGTTTAAATTAATATGGCTAAAATGATATTTCAAAGTCACAGCGAAATTAACGTTGGTGATATGGTTAGATTGCTCTGTCAGAAATGCAACTTTTGCTTCCTGGAGAAGTTACTAATGCGGACGAGCTTCTTATTGCACGTATGAAAAATTTAAGTCTATGCTTTATAGTCAATATCGAATAATAATGCAAACGTCTTTGATTAGGTGAAATCTTGGAAATTGGAGCTTATTGGAGTGTTCACGTTAAGGATATACCATCCTTTGAGCGATACATAGCTCAATTGAATACATATTATACCGACTACAGGTTTGTTCATCATAAGTTCATTCACGATTGTGATCAATTGGTTCCTTTATTAATTAATGTATTGATGAAACTGGTAAAAGCTCGCTGCTCAAACCTTCAGAACAAATGTATCCTCTAACTGGATTGAATCTTCTTCGTTTGCTTTCCCAAAACCGTATTGCTGAATTTCATACTGCTTTGGAAAATATTGAACCAGAACAACTTTTAGAAAATCCTTTTATCAAACATCCAGTACATTTGGAACAATATCTCATGGAGGGAAGTTATAAAAAAGTGTGGAATTCTAGAGAACAAGTACCTGCGCCCGAGTATCTTTTCTTCATTGATATCTTAATGGGGACCATTAGGTTATTAGTTTCGACTATATGTAATTGTTTGCAAATTGAAATTTTTTGATATTTACATTGAATTTTTATAATTAGGAATGAGATCGCGAGTTGTAGTGAGAAAGCATATTCAAGCTTGCCTTTGGTCGATGCCGCAACATTACTGTTCTTTAATAATCTCAACGATGTTATGAAGTTTGCCGTTGAGGTAAGAAATAACATTTTCTTTTAAATTTTTTTTTCTTTAGTGTAAATCTTACGAATCATAATAATTTTCAGCGTGGGTGGAATGTAAATCCAGCAGAACAGAAAATATATTTCACGACGAAGGATGATAATCATGTTGAGATACCACATGCTAATATTACTAGACAAGCACTTTATTATGCGCGTGAACTGGAACAAATTGTGTGAAGAGTAAATTTAATAGTCCCAAATAAAAAAACTATAACTTTTTTAATATCAGTAATTATATTGTAGTATAAGGTAGATATGCCTATTTTGACGCATCTAACGTTTTCGATAAATATCACATGATATATTGACCAGAATTGGATAATTTTCGTATCATTCGATTCGTTTCATTGAGATGAATCGAATGGTACCAAAATCATCCAATTCTAATCACTAAATCATGAGATATCACTTATTAAAGATTGTATAAAAAATGTCGGGGATGATGCTGAAATCGGATGATGCTGACATTTTGACTTATTTTATTATGAAAATGTAAAATTTTTTT